AAACTGTCAAATATTTAAGACTCAAAATTCACTTTTGGTTTACCTTGGTATATTCACTTATTGGGGCACGCATTTCTTGCCCCAAATCCTTACAGACAGATAAAAAATATGCTTAAAGCAACATTTCTGGCTTGATTACTCTCTGTGACCTGCTGTCTTCCGATCCCAGGTCAGAATATCTGAGAGTTGAACCCCGATCAATTGGCAACTAACCCTTCGGGTAAATGCTCTTCCACACAAGGAGTAAGATCAAGAATGATGGGAAAGGGCATTCGCCGATCGCGTTACGCGCCCTGCTCGTCCCGTCGTGTTTAGACACTGAATGCAGTCGCACGGCGACTACCAGCATATGCAACGAAATACCACTGAAAAAGCCAATGGTGATCTTTCTTTATATATGCTATAAGTCGCCACACGACTGCCTACTTTGCTCCAAATCGAATGGGTGAGTAGGCACCGTACCGTCGTCGGTGAGCACTGTTTGTCATAGGTATTATTTCCGACCTCAAAAATGGTTACTCATATGTCGCACGAAATGGAGCATAAAGACTGGAACCGCTGGCAATGCAAGTGGCATTTCGTCCCATTCCAGGAAATTAGAGTCAGGGTCAATTTGGGGGTTAGGTTAAAGGTAGGGATTAGTATTCATCGTCGGGGTTAGGGTTGAGGAGAGGATTAGGTCCCGTATTAGGGCTACGATTGGGTCAGCGATAAGGCGAGGACGCGAGGGTATTTAACCTGCCTGTTATTGTGCGCAAGGCAACCTTGGGTGGTGTGGTCCTATTCCTGTGTCCTCCTGTTTAGGCGGCCTTGCCCTAATCTCACTCAACAGGGCAACGAGTCTGTGGCCCATTAGACAGAATTTTCCAGTCACTGATCCAAAATCCTTGGTTGTAATCCCTGGTGCTGCAATTCTAGGGTTGGGTATGACTGGCTTACGATGGTTAACAATCCAGAAATAGCCATTCCCGTCTGTCTTGTCTTTGTCGCTATTCCTCCTCTTCTCGATCAGTCCACACGGCAATGGTGTTCACCGATCTATCCTGTCATTTAGGGCGTAATAGCGGCGTTCCAGCGTCAGTCTAGAGCACTTGTAAGCGGTTGCAAAACGCGTACTCAAGACTCAGGATAGACGATAGACTTGTGAGACCCATGCTCAAGCTCGTAAGATCCGACTTCCTGGATCACGACAAACTGATAGAGCTTTCACAGATGTCAGCACCAACTCACCCTTTTTCATTGCGTCCATGAAGGCAGAATCCAGATTCACTGGCTCCACGTGATCTCGGTCGGTGTGTAAGTCCGCACTCTGTAAAGTCAGTGACCGTGGTCGCCAGTGAATGGAGATTACATCACTTTCAGCCAGGAGATAGGATAGATGCCCCACCTGCTGAAGACCGAATCCCAGAACTGAACCTTCTGGCACATGCGGATCATAGACGAGAATCTGCATTCCGAAAATGCGTGCACGTCTGGCCAGTGCCAATCCAATGTGATCTATAAGGTAGGATGATTTCTGGGAGTAAATATACTTGTAGACGGATGGACATGTGTAAAAATTAAGTTATGAGCCAGCCACACCTACTTCCATATTTCCGAAAAAACACTCACATTTATAAAATAAGGTAGTATAAATGGGACGTCTAAATGGATGACTTTAAAAAGCACAGTCCTCGTCATAAATTGATAAACCGACAGGAGAAGTACAAGCAATGAGTGCCAGTCGGAGGGTCGACAAAGTACGAGTAATCGTCTTTTTCACACCGTCCAGCTGCCTGCTCCCGTCTTAAGTACTAGACGCGGATTGACGTGGTTAATGCCCATCGATGCCTCCCCAAAAGTAGCGAACGAACCGACATTAGAACTAGGAGGCGTTATCGCGTGATGCCTTTTTCGACAGTTCCCCCCTCCCCCTCCTTCTGCCCTGAACACCGATTTAAACCCGGCAACCGCAGGAAATGGCTTCCGGCGGCTTCACGCTGCGGAGGTGGTGTGGGCTAAAGAGTGATGTGCGGTTCTCTCTCCTCCAATCCCTCC